ATTGCACGTAAAAAAATATATTGACTTTGATAAGAGTTATTGATACCTAGCGTTTTTCGTTTTCGAGTTATTTTGGTAAATTTTACCCCATATCTTAGCCAACATTAATTCAAAAAAGATCTTCATTCGCACGATTACTCTTCAGATGCTGCTAAATAGATTGCCATTTGTTGTATCGAAGTATCTTATACAGGTTGGTCAAAAATTGAATTACTATTTTTCCATATTCAATGGCGGGAAAGTCGAAAATTTTAAATACAACACCGCTTATTTTTTTAGCCTGTCAGAAAGGGAATTTAATTCTCTACAAATTATCTGTAAACATTCCTATACCCATTTATTGTAGTTTGCCTCATATTGGGAAATTTGTTAAAAAATACACGAAATACAGTTTTTTTTATTAGAAAGCTATGGCATTTTGACAGTTTTTGGTCCATGTTTGTATTATTGTTGTCACTAGTTACATTCATAGAAAAATTTATATATATTATGTATATATCACAGGAAAAAATATAGAGTAAAAATCAACTCTAAAACATGGTTCAGATCGGTCCAATATATTTAGAGTTATTTTTTTGCACTATATAGTGTAGGTGAATAGATTAAAATTTTACACTAAATAGTGAGAAGATGGTGTTTATTAAATAGTGTAAAATCGTTACTCTATAACAGTGTATTATATGTAATCTAACTAGATGTTGTCGTGACTCTAATTAGATACATTTCTAATCTAATCAGTGTAAATTATTAAAAATTCGCTCTAATTTTACTCTATTAATTGACAAAATATCACTAAATAGTGTGTATCTTACACTTATTAGTGTTAATTTTTAATAGGAAGTGGAGTATTTTTAGGGAAGTTTTACGTTTGTAATAAAAATCAAAATTATAAAATATTTGTTTTTATTTTTACTTGTAATATATTGTTATAACTTAAATTTAAAAAAATTAAATTCTGTTTATATACATATAAGGGCAACGATCTGACGTTTTGGACGTGGTTGTAATTAAAGATGTCCNTGTAATATGCTTCGATTCCCGAATGTTACCATTAGCTAATAGTAAAACAAGAAAATTTAGTAAATTTTCATATTTTCGTATTTTTCTCGCTATTGACGCATTTAAGAGCAAAAATAAAACAGACCAATATTGTTAACAATAATATTTGCTACAACTTTTGCTCCAAAAGTTTTTCTGTAATATGCTTCGATTCCCGAATGTTACCATTAGCTAATAGTAAAGCAAGGAAATTTAGTAAATTTTCATATTTTCGTATTTTTCTCGCTATTGACGCATTTAAGAGCAAAAATGAAACAGACCAATATTGTTAACAATAATATTTGCTACAACTTTTGCTCCAAAAGTTTTTTTGTAATATGCTTCGATTCCCGAATGTTACCATTAGCTAATAGTAAAACAAGGAAATTTAGTAAATTTTCATATTTTTGTATTTTTCTCG